AAACTAAGACTTTTCATTTTCCTCCCTCTACACCCTGTTCAGCCCCCTGACAGCTCAGCACTGCCATATAAGATGCTGTGATCTGAATCTCCTTGAAGTTTTGCAGAAGGGAACAAACATTCATACTGATGAGACTTCACTTGGACCACTTGTTAGTTTGTGATATCCTGTTTTCTAGAAAGCATTTTGGGATACTCTTATATAAAAGAAGCTGTGTAAACTACCCAGCAGTGTCTCCTTAGGAACTATAAGTCAGTGTTCAAGTGAAAGATTAACAAAATCTTCCAGTTCTGTGAATGAGTTACAGTATTAGTATCTTCCTGAGTTTTTAAATATATGAATTCTGCTACTTATATTTACATCAAGAAGTGTATCAAGATTTAGATCAAGTGTGTTATACAGACTGTGATCTCTGACTTCTGTGTGCAGAATGGTGCCTTTAGTCTCCCTGATGCATGCTGAACAATCATTAAATAACCACACACATTGAGAAATACAGGGTGTCTAATTTTTGTTTTGTTGTTGTAAAAGATGTGAATTATCAAGCTGTCATTTGGCTATTGCTTTTCCTTTAGTGGATTCCTTTTTCCTCCTTTGGTATTAGAAAATATTTCTGAGATTCTAGTCTTAGCTGTCTGCTCCTGTCCTTTAAATTTAGTGGTAACTTTTTCCCATGAAGGTTACATTTTGAATCCAGGCTTAAAAAAAGAAGAAAAGACTGCATCTATTGCACTATGTTCAAATTGACGACAAATCTTGCAACAGAACTCCTGCACCTGTGTGCACTCATACTTAATATATATATATATACATGCATGATACTCAAGAACAATACCACCACACTGTGTTCTGTATTCTAAGTGTATCCTCTCTAAATAGTGATCAGAGTTCTCAAAACATCTGAGATACTCCAAATAGTCCAGAAATAAAAGACAAAGCTGCCTCCTCTATCTACAACTCTTACTTACAACTTTCCCTACGTAAGCTGCTGTTTATTTTCAGTTTGTGGCACACATCGTAGTGCACTTTGATAAAGCTGATCCTGTTTCATCATCTCCAAGTTCCTGCAGGTATTCATGTGCTGTGTGATTGCTTATTAGTTTTTTTGGACTCTTGCGCTTTCCGCTTAAAAATCCAAACCAAAACACCCCACCCCCTTCAAAAACCAAACAGCTAGTACAACAAGTTGTCCCCTGACAAGCAGAAGCAACCAAGTCTAATGAGCTTGAGGAGTTAATGTGCTACATCACCTGATTCCACCACCCTGCTAGCTTGGGTCCCCGGCAGGGTATGTGACTGACTCAGTCACACCTATGCATGAGCTGGGGTGAGTGTGTGGACCAGACTGCTCATCCCCCTTGTCTTTCAAACATCCATTTCCACAGAAGACAAATTAGAACAAGGTTTGACACCTGTAGGATAGGAGACCAGAATCCTTTCAAACAGATTTGAAATGCGCTGTTGTGCATGCAAGTGTATAAAGCCTCATTTCCCTAAGACAGCAGGGACAAAATAGCAAATGTGGCAAAAATGATCATAAAAAACTACACTGAAAATCACTTTCCTCTCCATACCTTTGTTTCTAACTACCTTTTTCATCAGTTAGAAGATCTATATGAATCGCAAATGTTCACAAGATGAAGACAAGTACTGAGAATATCTGCTGAGGTACTAAATTAGCACTTAAAAGATGTGTACTCAAACTGAATTAGTTGAATAAGTTTTTGCATATAGATAACGTGTTTACTTGTCTAGTAGTGTTTTATTATTTTAACAGTAGGAAGTCAGAGTGACTGTGGTTTATAAACAAGAATTTTCAAATATCAGAACAGCAACTCAGGAACATTTTTTAATTATTTTGTAAGCCAATGCCCAAAATATCTATTATTGCAGTTTTATGACAAATCATCTGATGGATTTCAGCCATCAGCTTGTCACACGTTCATCATAAGAAACTTTAAAATACAGCTATCATAATGTAGAAAAAAAAAAAGGAGAGGTAACTATAGAGTAACCTTCCTGATCCACCTATCCTGCACCCCCTTGCCTTCCTGATTTTGCTGTGTCCATCCACTGTCCGCTGGATCCAGTTGTTAATGGAATGTCCTACTGTGCTAAAGAGCTTAGTGGGATGTTATTTACTAAGAATGCAAGTAACAATACGAGGCAGAACAGAAGAGAGGAAAATAACACTCACACTATGAATAGAGCACTATTTAATATACTAAATTCATGAGACTGAGACATGAAGGTATACGGTTGGCCCTTTACTTGAAGAGCTATGGCAGAAGTCACTAAAGAGTATGGTCCCAGGTAGGTATTCAGACAAACAGCAGGAAAGCTGACCCATTTCACTTCCTCCCTTGCTATGTCTTTTGATTTTTAAACCTGCATTCACATCTTGTGCTTTCTATCAGACTTGGACTGCTGGTATGTAGCCTCCATGAGGACTCTGAAAGTGGCAGCATGAGTAGGAAGAACAGGATTTAAACAGTTAATTTTGAATGACAACAGAAAGATGCATAATTTTATAAAGCATCAGAGGGAATACATGATACTTATTTTCAAATAAAAGAATCCTCTTCCTTTCACCTCTGGAAAAAAAAAAATAATAGAACATGCCTATATTCCAAACCTACTTTAAGTGCTATCTTAGAGATTGTTCAGTGTTTCACAGGAAACATTTCAAAGTTAATAAAATGTGTAAACATATTTCCACTTCAATGCTGTACTAACCTTAGAGTAACATACTGTTGCAATCTTGGCAAAAATAGAACACCAGTGTAGAATACCTTGTTTGAATTTTTAATGTAGTTTGGGGAAAAAAAATCCACCTTAATGAGTAGTTTGTAACAAATGAATTAGGCTTCTTGCTGTGTTATCTCCTCTTAACAGGGAAGGAATATTAACAAACCACATATATACATTTATGTATTTATACATGCACACTACTATCTTAAATACAAAATTTATGCTACTGATACCAAGTGGTGATATGCAGTATAATGACTGTAAGTATACAGTGTTTTAATGCTGCTTCATGAATTTAGGATATTTTCTTTTTTTTTTTTTTTCTTCAGCATCACTACAAAACTTGGAAATCTTATAAATAATATTAATGAGATCTGGTTTTAATACTTCAGTAGAAAGAAATGAATTTATTTCTAACGTGATGCATTTCTTCCTAATGTGTACTGTGAGACTGACTGAACAGAAAGAATAGCTGCTTATAACAGTAAAATAAAGGAAAGCTAAATGTAGTCCCCAAAACCCATCTATGTTGTGATACCACACAAAAATATAAAATACATGGGTTTATTGCTCAATTCTTCAATGTCATGTCAGGATCACAGCATGAAGAACACTAAAACAGCTAAGTATACTGATAAGAACTGATATACTGATAAGACACTTTCTTAGTATACTGATACTAAAGATACTTTCTTTAGTATACTGATAAGCTACCTTATCATACAAAATAATTTTACAAAGTTACTTGTATTTTGAAACATACTATTTGGAAAGGACTAGTGATCTTGTAAGATTATCCAGGGGACCACTTTTAATGGTGTCACTGTCAACATCAAGAGAAGACAGCAATTTATAGGAGTTGGGGAGAACAGAGTTTATCTTCACTTTTATCAGCCTTCCTGTTGACAGCACTATCTTCTAGGGGTTGATAAAATACAATTAATATGATATAAAACACCCAAATCACTCTCCTGTGCAGAAAGTATCATTGATCTGCAATGAACTTTGCAGATACCAACATGACTGACTTCAGAATTAGGGGCTACACAGCTTGATCAGGCTGCAGCCAGCCAGCACAAAACTCAGGACTAGAAGCACCAACCTGGTCAATGGTGCACTCACAGCTTCATTCCGATGAAGCCAGGAAGCCAACTATTCCGGCATCAATATTAATGGGCTGCCCTCACCATAAGGATGGGCTAGCACTTACTGTGTTTATCCTAACACTCTACCCCCATTTCATAATCAACTAGGTTGGATCCTTGAATCCAACCTTTGACTACCTTGTCAACTAGTCCATGGCAGGAGGCACCACATCCAGTCTCTATTTCACACAGGACCAAGTGTGTCACAGGGAGCTTATGTTCCAGGCTTCTGAAGACACCTAGAAGTTAACGCTGAGGTTTCCCAAAGCACTTTTCACTTAAATCCTACGTCCCACACGCTGTTCCTTTTCTGCTGAGGATTGGACAGGACAGGCTAAGAAGAGCCGGGACGGACCCTTTTTTAGCCCAATGTTACACCACTGACTGCGCTAAGCAACATGTGCTGTTACTTGGCGTGGCACCTGACCGTTCTTCAGGAAGAAGATCTGAGACTTGCCACACTCGAGGATGACCAACAAGAAAACACCGCTCTGCAACACTGTGTCACACCCCTCGAGGGTCGGAAGGTCCGGTACGCTCCCGGCGGTTTAACCATCTGACTGCGCACCCGCACAAGGAGTAGAGCATCCGAACTCCGGCGAATTTCTCTCGTCCAGGGAAGTTTTCCTGGGATGAGCGGGGACAAGGGGCACCGTCTGGGCCGCAAACCTCCAGCCCCGCCGCCGAGTCCCCCGGCCCCGGCACGGAGTGACGTCAGCGCGCCTGCCCCCAGCCGCGCGCGGGTGTGCGTGCGCGCGGTGGCCGCGCGACGCCGCTCCCGGCCGGCTCGCGGGCCGGGATGGGGCGGCCGCTCCTGGATAGCCTCCACATCCACCCGCCCCCCCCGCATCCCCGCGCACGCACAGGCACGGGCTTCGGCAGCATGCTTTCCGCAACACTTGGGGCCGTATGGATACCGTGGTCGACACAGCGCTAAGAGGATTAAAACAAGAAAAATCACGACAAAGCCCAACTCAACAAAAAAAACCCCAAACCAAAACAACAACAACAAAAACCGCCAGAAAAACCCCAAAAGCACAACCCTCTCGTCCCCCTCCCCCCCAACAAAGACTGCTCAAATAGTCATCCGAACCAAACCCCACAACAAACCCACGAACCGGGAGCGCGTACCCACGGCGTTCCCCTTCTCTCCCCGAGGGGCGAGGAGGAGCAGGAGGAGGGTTGCTCGTGTTTCGGCTCTCGGGGACGGTTTCTGGGGATTTTTTCCCGTGTCTCTGCCCTCCCACTCCGCCCGCCTCGTGCCCTCTTTCTTCGCTTTTGTTTGCACTGCACTTTTTGTGGGAAGGGGGGCGGCAGGGTAGCTGGAACACCTCGCTTTTATTTGTAGCGAAGGAATGTGCTAAAAAAAAAAAAAAGAAGAAAAGGAAAGGAGGAAGAGGGACAAAAGAGAGAAGGGGGAAGGAAGAAGGAGAGGGAGAGAGAGGGAGAAAGAGAGAGACAGAGAGAGAGGGAGGAGAAGGAGGAGGAGGAGGAGGGGAAAGGGAGCAGCAGCTCGGGAACAGAGAGCGCGCCCGGGAGCGGGAGCAGCAGCAGCAGCAGCAGCCGCCGCCGCAGGAAGGAGAAGAGGAGAAGAGCAGAGTGGAGCAGAGCAGCGCGGAGGAGAGGCGGCGCTGGCAGGAGGAGGCAGGCGCGGACCTGGCTCTTTTGGATGCTGGATTTTCGGACTCTCGTTGACTCTCTTCTGCTCCCCGGTGCCGTACTGTGAGAGACAAGCACGAGCGTCAGGCTGCAGCGGCAGGGCTCTGCTGGTGGCTCCTGCTGCTGCCGCTGCTGCTTCGGGGCTTGGATTAAATTGGCCGCCCCGGAGCCGACCGGGAACAGCAGCGGGAGGAGGTGGCGGCGGCGGGAAGCGGCGGCAGGAGGGCAGGCGGCGGCGGCGGCTGCTGCGGGGACCAGGGGAGCCAGCATGACCAGGTAACTGCCCCGCTCCTGACCCATTTTTCCTCCGCCGCCGCTCCCTCTTTGCCGCCTCTTTCGGCGCGTTTGTGGGTGTGAGCACAAAAGTGTGTGTGCATGTGCGTGTGTGTGCGCGCAGCCCGCACACATGTGCCTCGCACACAACTCTCCCCGCGGGTGCCCCGGGGTTCCCCCCCGGGCCGCTGCCAGCCCGCTCCCCGCCGGTCTCAGCCTGGCGGCGAGGCCTGTTCGGGAGCGAGGGGAGCTGCGGTGCGGGGACGGGGGATGGGGCAGGGAGAGGGCGATTGATGGATCGGAGTCGACGTTTCCACTGAGTGCTGCTGTACGCGGGCGGGGAGGGGGGAGTACGGTAATTACACACTGGCTGTTTCCTTTGGCGAGAGAATTATTAATAGTAATTATTTTATTTTTACGGGTGGAGAGAAGAGGGAAGGTAGCTAGGGTGAGAGGCCAGGCACCTGGCGCTGGGAGACGGTGTTTAGGGGTGAGCGGCCGGCAGGGACCCCCAGCGCCGGTCCGAGCAGGGCTCCCTTCTTCTAATCCTCTTCCTCCTCCTCCACCTCCTCCTACTCCTCCTCCCCTCCTCCTCCTCCTCCTTCTCCTCCTTCTCCTCCTGCTGTCTCTCGGCGGAGCAGGGAGGCACGGAGATGCGAAGCTTTTCTCAGGTTAGGCTTTTAATTTCTTGTTTACTCTCGCGAAACCACTTGAAAGGGAGGGAAACTCAGTTTTCCGAGCGCTTACAAAGGGTTTCTTGAATTTGTTCAGCAAACTTAGCAGCTCCCTCTGCTCCGTCTGCCTGTACAAGCAGGCACTCCTCACTGCTGCAACCGGGCTTTCCCAGACTTGCAAATAAAACAGTTCACTGAATCCCCTATTTTGCCTGTTTACTGTCCCCTCGGTTCCCTGACAGAACGGTATTCTTCCCTTTTTAAGACACTACCACTCAGCCTTGCATGTATGGCTTTTGAATGTCTGCTTCTCCGTGATACTTCTTCAGAACTGCTGTCATGCGTATTTTATTCTTTTGGCTGGCCTTTGTACAGTTGCTGCCTCGTGGAAGGATGTCAGCTTCTTTACCATGATTTCGATGTCCGTATTCCCAGTTTTGACGTGTATAGATAGCTCGGTTTATTTACACTGAATAGTTAGCTTTTTACGTGTTCCTTCACTTGCCGCCCCAGACAGCGTTACATTGGGGATGAATCTACAGATGCTGATTTGCTTTGGAGTTTCCCGTTTAAAGGCATAAGTATTTTTGGTGACGCTTGTATTCTCTTAAACTTAGGATTAATGTGGGAAGCTATGATTTTCTTCTCAGTCTTCCAGAGATTGCTTTCAACATACCTTTTGTTCTGGCACAAGCAACTTATGCACATTGGGACATTTATTGGGAATTTTTATACAGAGAAGGAAAAAAATATATCTCGTATTTTTAATTCCTCTGGTATCGGCTAGTGGCTTATAATGCTATCATGGTCAGTACTTTCTTTTCTTGTTGTAAAAGTGTATAGTAAATGACATCATTTTCTCCTGGTCTGGAAACAACAAAGCTCCTACAATTCTTGTTATGAATGGAGCAACTCTGAAGAAAAAAAAAAAAAGATTCCCCCTGTCCGAAATATGATCATATGTACTTGTATCTTACTTTAGATGGCAATTTTCTGATAGCTTCTTTACATTCCCTCTCATGAGATATGCTATAACTGCTTTTTTAATGTGTGAAATTGAAAACTGGTCAGCTTAATAAATTCAGCTGTCAAATTTCGCTCAATCAAAATTGCTAGAAGCTGTAAACATACTGGCTTGGGATTTTCAAGGTACGGAGTATTACACAGAAAGGCAGGATTTAATGAGAGACTTTTTACACGAGTAGCTTTCCAATTTTAGTTTTGTCACTTGTGGTAATATGGTGAAGTATATTTAGATTTCTTTCAACACAGAAATGATGTATAGCTTTTCTGTATCCACTTAAAGCCCTGAAAGCTTTCTCTAAGTAGTAGTCTTCTACTCTAAGAAGACACTAAGAAATTCATTATGGTTTGTGTGTGCTGTGGCAAGCTGTCAGGAATGGTGCATGGTAAGGAAAACGGTGTCTTGGTATTTCTAGATTTCAAGAATGGGTCTTAGGACCTGCTTTTAGACCCATCAGTCATACTACTCTTAAAACGAGCATTAAAAAATAATATGAATTTAGTGTTCTGCTGTGATGGTTATGTAACTCAAACACCAGCACTGTCAGCGAACTCAACCGGTGATAGCAAATCAGAGCTTAATCTTAGGAGAGGGTTTGCAAGAATGGCCATGGGGATGTGTGAATGAACTAAATACCAATTTAAGTCTAGTCAGTGAATGACCTTTCATTTTTAACATTGCCTCTCATTCCTGCCTTTGAGTAATGCAGGGACCAAAACTACACAAGCTGAAGAGTAGGAATTCCCCTTCATCTGCTGCTGTGTGTGCTGAGCCACTAGGGGCCTGTATAAACTGCTCACATACAGCAGATACCAGTGCATGGCATATGCTCACTTTCACCAGACATTTTTTGCACAGGTGCCTAATGTCAAAAGCAAAGTTTTTTTTTCCTTACTAGTAAATGAGACTGCGGTTTCTTAGAAGATGCATACAAATGGTATATTATTTAGTTTTTATTCTTGCCCTACTTCATCCATTTCCCCCAGTCCTGTATGGTGTCCAGCATACAGAACATTTCCATTCTTTCCTCCCTGCTTTCCTGACTGCTACGGGAATTGGGGGTGAACATTGACTCCGGAGGTGCAAATTTTGGGCAAAGTTAGATTTGAGTGTCTCCCTGCATTTTCATATTTTCTGTAAGCTGAGAAAATAGATTTGTTGCCTGTGTGTTTTTTTCTATTAGGTTAGTAATGATACCATTCCATGCGAGTGTAGGGTTAAAAGATAAACTAAACAGGATTACTTCACGGCAGCAACAGACATAGATTGATGGTGTATTTAAACTAGCTTTGTAAGTGTTATGTAAGTTTGAGAGTGTGTCGGCTCCAAGGCTTTGGTTGGAGTGTAGTCAGCATTTATGGGATGTGTACTATATATTTTTGAGTGTCAGTTTCAGAAATTTAAAATCCACCAGACATAGCATTCTTAATAGACATTAAGCAATAGGGTCATGTATACTTACACTGTTCCACTGTTGGTTTTCAGTTTTTCAAACTGACAAGGCAGACAATTGGTAAAAGAGCACAGCTGAAATATTTGCATATTGGATTTCCTTCGAAATGAACTTCCGTTACTAAGCTCTTTGAGAATTTTCATTTGAAAGGATTTTCAAGCTGAATCACAGTAAGGTCATGGACTCAAAATGCAGTTTCCCTATGGTATGTTAATTTTTTAATAAACTGTCTTTAAAACATCAGAGTTTTATATATCATTCGGTTTTGGGCCAGCAAGAGGGTTTTTTGTCTTATTACCAGTAACAGTTGTGCAAATATTGACTGAAATTAATTTTTGAAATGTGTGTGTGTGCCTTAGGTAAAGTTTTGATGAAATGTAATGAAAACCATTTAAAGATGTTCTAGAATGATAAATGTCTGTTCAAAACTGCAAGTTTTACTGACTGTCAATAAACCAAGGCGGTAGCTCCGAAATGCAGAGGACAGGGACTTCATTTGCGCTTTGAATATCAAGAGAAGTAACATAGTACAGGTCTACTAATCATTGTATTTCATTTTTGTGTAAGACTGTGGTGATTTTTAAGCTTTTGTTCTCTAACAAGCTGAGGAAAAGGTATAGATATTTGCTGGTTTAATTTCAGTGTCAGTCATATAATGCCATTTATTGCAACAGGAGCTTACTTTTGCTGAAATTCTGTTTAAAAACAGTTGGCATAACACAGTCAGCATACAATATTTTTATGAAAACTCTCAATTTCACATACTCTGTGAGTTGTTTGTTTGCTTAATCCTTGTTTTCTTTGGAAAAGACCTTAAATGAAGCCAATTAATGAATGTACGCTGTCAACTTGGCAGCCTAAAGCAAGAATCTGTGCTTAAAAATACTTGGTTTTATACTGTCAGGGATTTACCAAGAAGAAGAGCGGAAGCTTACTTCTCTTGGTGATCTGCTACGGTGAAAGCTACAGTACAATTGGAGAAATCTGATGATGTAGAAAAAGATTGCATGAGAGGGCTTTGCCTGTAAATTCCTTTCCAACAAGCTTCACTTCACTACTTGTTTAAGCTGCTGTGCTTTGATAGAGCCATGTTTACTACTGCACAATTTTAACATATATTTCAGGTGGCTTTTGGTTGGTTATTGATAATAGTTTTAAAAATATTGCATTTTTGTGTCCTCCTATAGGAAGTGGATAGCTAGGATGCGGGAAAAATAGATACAAAATAGTAAAAATGGTTTGTTTGCAAAAAATTAGATTCAATTGAATAAATTACTGTGTAAATTCTGAAAGCATTGCTTTTTAAAAACTTAATTATTATTAATGTTCTTTCAATCAGTTTATAAAAACAATTCAATCTGAATACTATCAGCTTATTTTTAAGTACACCAGCAGGTATACATAGTCTGTACTTCCCTAAGATATTCCGTAGGATTTATCTCTTCCAGTGTCTTCTGCTTACATGCTGTGACAGCCTTCTCCATAACCTTAGTAGCATAGAAAGAGAAAGGAAAATAGAAAATAAAAAGTGAAGGTGATTGATCTTTCAGTAGAGTTTCAAAAGAGAGATTTTTTCAAAAATCAACTTTCATGTTTATACTTGATATCTGATGGGGATTCTGTGTGCTCTTTCAAATACAAAGAATGTGCAGAAAATGTCCTCAGCCAACTGAGAATGATGGAATTGTAGACACTATGATTTATTATACCAGAGGACATGTACTAACAGTATACAGTCATGTCCTACGCTTCTTCATAGTTAAGCACAGTGGAGTTACTTGGGTTTTACAGTAATCTTCCAGTTATTGGAGTCACTCCACTGGTATACAAAATAATTTGTTATTTCCAGACA